ACATACACACACACATACACATACATACACACATACACACTCATACACCCACACACCCACACACGGTCATTTTTTGCGGCAGCACCACAAAACCTATGAGCTTCAAATCCAAATTTCGGGCGTGAGGGCACGATGGAAAAATGTATGCCACTCATGAGGGCATATCGCACGGGGACAAGTGAAATGAGGTTGGTCGTTTAGTAAGGGCACTGCGAAAAGTTGCGCCCCTTGCTGCACGGGGCATGCAAAAAAGTTCAGAGGCCCCAGAGGCACGACAAGGTAAGCGGCCCGTCGGAAAGGCGTGATGCAAAAATAATAGAAATTATAACGGTGCCAAACAAATTTTATGAAAAACAGCTAAAAAAACTCCAAAAAAAAACTATGTTATGAAGAAATGTAAATTGAATAACGTTTGCTTATGGGACACATCAAAGTTTTTCTCTGAATTTCAAATAAAAAATAAAGTTCGAAAATATATATTTTTTTTATGCTACCAGAGTGGTCCGGGTCCACTTGCCCGACCGGCCAAAACGAAATAACAAAAATAAAAAAATAAAAATGATTTTTTAATTTAAAATTTTGCTTTTAATTTGGTGAATAATTTTGATATGATCTTGAGGCAAAAGTTGTTCAGTTTATTTTTCTGCATAACAAAGTTTTTTTTTAAGATTTTTATTTTGTTGTGACTTTGCATAGTCCTTGCACAATCGGGCCGCCCGGGAAATAGGGTGACTCGGGTGGGCCGGCTGGTAGCCTAGTACCTTTCAAAAAACATTTTGTCCGACCGGGCAAGTGGTCCTAAGACACTGTGGTAACCTACATCATACCCCTTCAAACCCGCTTAAGCTTTTTAAAACCCTTTTGCACTTCGCCTATACCCTATCAACAAGAGACACCATTTTCTTATTGATTACTAAATTCAAAGGTAGTGCCAGATTTGAACACATTTTTCTAAATTGCCCCACTAAGAACGGGGGGAAAAAAAAGTGTTTTGGATAAGCGAATCTGGTTGAAAGTCTCTTATAACGTATATAAAAACTTCGTTTTGCATAGGGCCGTATTCTCCACAGTTAAAATTAATGCAAAAATTAATCCAAATTCAAGGCTACTTGTCTGGCCGCCCAAATCAACCTATTTTCCCGGGCGGCTTGAGCGTCCAAGAACCAGGGAAGATCCGAGCGAAAAAAAAAAAAAAAAAAACCGAAAAAACACTATGTTATGAAGAAAAAGAAATTGAATAACTTTTGTCTCAGGGTCACATCAAAATTCTTCAAAAAAAAAAACAAAAAAAACTAATATATATTTTTCTAGGCTACAAGAGTGGTCCGAGGTCACTTGCCTCGCCGGGCCAAAAATAAATAAAAATTATTTGTAAACCTAGGTTACCAGCCGCGTCGCCCGAGTCCTGGGTGACCAGCCACAAATGGTTAACAGGTACCCTCACTTTTCATGTTATGCAGAAAAATAAACTGAACAACTTTTGCCTCGAGATCGCATCGAAATTCTTCACCAAATTTAAAAATAAAAATATTTTTTATTTTTTATTTTTTATTTTTTTTGCCCGGCGGGGCAAGTGCCCTCGGGCCACTCTGGTAGCCTAGTTTTAAACTTTATTTTTTATTTTAAATTTGCTAAAGAATTTCAACGTGACCCTGAGGCAAAAGTTGTTCAAATTTATTTTTCTGCATAATAACATAGTTTGTTTTCGGACTTTTGTGATTGTTTTTTTTTTTT